CCCTGGTTTAACAGAAATTGTTATAGGGTGGGGCAGGATCTGGTCTGCATGTTCTCTGAGAAGTTCTCTGAGAATTAGACAGGAGGAGGGGAAAGAGAAGCAGTCATCAAATGACATAATCAAACAGGACTCTGCCAATGTAGCATGAGGCATACCCGAACAAACCTGGGGCTTGATCTCAGCACACAGGAAGGGAGCAGGAGCTCTCCCAGAGCTGGAATCACCTTGAGGCCAGAGTTGGCAAGGAGTGGCTTGCTTAACTCCATGATGGGGAAAGTTTTTCAGGAAGATAGGAGGAGATAGGCATGGTAAGCAGTGCAAGAATTCTGTTTACATGGGGAATGAGGAGGTTTGGGAGAGGAATTGGTTGATTTAGAAACTGGTTTAGAGGCTAATAGAATCTGCTCAGGGGAACAGAAAGTACAGAGGGAGGGTTTGATGTGGAGATGAAGAAAGGATTGGATGTGGGAAAGTTCCTTCCATTTGCCAGCATGCTTACAGACATTGTATAAATCCCTTAAAATATTGCGATTGAAAGTGCCATTAGGTGGCCATTTAGAAGCATTGTCTATGGGTATTGGGGCCAGGCCTGATTACAGAGAAAAATGAGCTTTTGTGGCTTAAGATCAGGCGTTAGGCAGAGGGGCCAAGGTTGGCCATGAGACATCCCAGTGGGGAGTCTGAAGGAATTTGGGATGGTCCAACTCCCATGGTGAAGGCCTGACCTGAGGAGAGATATGGCGGATGTCCCCAAAATATCAGGTCCTCAGGAGAGAGAGAGAAATGTGGAACACAATGCCCAGAGGGAACGTCTTCACTACGGGGGGTCCACAGTCCCTAGTGGGGAGCCCAGTTTCCAGGGATGAGAGCGAGCTGTGACCTAGCACTAGGGTTTTGAGGAAATGAGAGAGAGAGAGAGAGATCACAGCTCTGCATGTGAGGAGGACTCACTGAGGGAGAGAGGACCTTGAGGGAAGATTGGCCGGTGGTGGATGGCAGTTGGAGGCATGCTGGGGTGGAGGAAATTCCCTGTGAGCTAATGAGAGAGTGGTGCTTTTTAGGATTGGGGGTCCTGGGAAAGCAGTTCAGATCCCAGAGGAAGGAAATGGGAATTGAGGGGTGGGGGATGGGGTAGGGGAGGCTGGGAGAGCAAGGTCAGTGTCGGGAATGCACCCCGATCCAAGTCATGGCACCAAATGTTAGGAAAAACGCTGCTCACAAAGAAAGCTCACGAGAAAAGTCTCACATCCATAGAGCAAAGTTTAATGGCAGGCCCAAACTGCCAGGCTGGCCAGGGAAAAGATGGCGCAGCCCTGAGTCTGGGCAAGGAGTGGCTTTTATAGAAGGGGGAGGTTAAGGAAGTTAGCACATGTGCAGTAGTCTCTGGCAGGGGTGGAGCTGTCTTAGAGCGTGGAAACTTAAGGGCGGGGCTGCCATTTTGGCTGATTTACAAAATGGTGACATTATTGTTCTATCAGTTCCTATGGCAGGTGTCATCTGTGGCCAGAGGCTATCTGGTTGACCATCTCAGGACTGGTCAAGTGGGACCTGGTCACGGTAAGGAAGTCCTGTTGCCTCTGTGTAGCTTCAACTTTTGTCAGAAATGTTATGGGTCAGTCCTGTCCTTCCTGGAACCCAAAGTGGCTGCAAGGTGACTGCAAGAGAAGGGCTCAGAGCAAAGACAGGTACAAAGTGGAGACAAAGATGTGTAACTTTTCTTCTGCTTTTAGTTACCCTTTGAACATCTGCAGGTCCAAGTGAGGACTCAGTGAGCAGGGAGCAGATTATGAGGAGCCTGTGAGAATGTGACATAAGCACAGCTATGTCAAATAATCAGCAGGCTGAGTTTGGCATGGCCCCAGCTGCAGAAGAGTGCAAAATGCAGCAGAAAAGTAGCGATCACAGGTTTCTCCTGTTACAATGTCACTCCCCTCCCTGAGAACTGTTGCTCCACCTCCTTGTTTACCACTGTATATAAAAGACTCCCTGAAGGAGCACAGGAGATTGACTGGTTGGCTGCCTGTGAGGGGTGGAAGCTACTGCCAGGGCAGCTTAGGAGGGGACTGCTGCTACTGCCTAGGTTGGCTGTTTGCAAGGCTGCTGCTGCTGCTGCCACTGCTGCTGCAGCTGGCCGTTTGTGTGTCTGCGAGTCTGAGGATGGAGACTTTAAGAGAGAACATGGGACAGTGCAATTCTGAGGGCCAAGAGTTTAAGAAAGATTAAGGAAAACATGGGACAGTGCAAGTATAAGTAAAGAGACTTTAAAGAATAGAAAAGAAGAAAGGTTTTAAAGAACAGAGAAAAGAGGCAAAGTGAAAGAAGAGTTAATAGAGGAAAGAAGTAATGAGGCTGTTGTGCGTCTCCATCTGAGTGCCCAGCACATCTGATCCCAACTTTCTGCATGTTTGTCTTCTATCCTTTGTCCTTTCTGCATCTCCAGTCACCCCCAGTTAGGTCAGGAGGGCAGGAACTTGCACAGCTCTTGAAATCAGTGTTTTTAGCAAAAGCAGTTTCTAAGTACTGTACCTGTTGTTGACCACCTTGGGCAGAGAATTTAGAATTATAATGAACAAAGTTTACTCTACAGAATGAGTCAGTAACTTGGGAATTTGGGTGGTTCTGTGTAAGTTAGCTGAAAACAAAAGAAAAACAACTTGGCAGGCACTTAACAGTCTTTTAGGGGGCAGCATCTCCCCTCTCCAAACTGTGTGTCACCTCTTTGAGTTACCCATCCCTGACTTTCTCCTGTGTGTATAGAGATACACATGTAAATGAACTTTCATTTGTTTTTCTTTTGTTAATTTGACTTTTGTGATATGAACCCTAGGTAAGAACCTAGAAGAGTAGAAGGAAAATATTTTTCCTCCTCTGCTGCATTAAAAGCTCATTACTCAGTGACAAAAGCTAGAAGTCCCCATAGGTAAATTGTGCCTTGATGAAGAACTACTGGTTTAAAACTAATGTCTTGTGATTTTGGTTGATGATGTAGGTGACCATCCCTCAGGTTCATGGGTAAGTTGCAAAGTTTATGAATGGCCCCTGGACTGAGGCCAGAGTTCTAGGAAGGTGTGCCATCACCTAATTAAAAATGTTGACAATTTGGTCTTTTCTCTCTTTGGTTCAAGGTCAGAGTCATTCAACATTGGAAGAGACTAAAATGCACGGTTACTTGTATGTATCTGTCCTAGGCAAAAATAACTTTTTTCTTACTCTGTATCTCTCTCTCCTACCTTGCAAATAGAATTCTTACTGACTCTACCTACTTGTGACCCCAACATATCTTTCTCTCACTTACTTCCTTATAATAAAATTTGAATCTAGAGTCTCATTCTTGAGGAGTGTGGCATTTTAAAGTCTTCCAACTTCCCCCCTATCTCTGTGCCAAGTAAAAATGACTTTCATCAGGTAAATGTTTTTGTGTTAGTATCTTGTCCTTAATGTGCAGTCATCAGGAAATGAAATGTCTTAACTCTTCTAAAATGAATCGGTCTCCTTAGAAACATTTTTTTGGGGACAGGGTCTAGCTATGTAGCCCAGATTGACCTTGTGTTTGTGATCTTTCTGCCTCAACTTCTGCAGTGCTGGGATTAAATGTGTGTACAGGCTTGACTTCTTAGGAACATTGATCAATGAGTCCAGTGGGAGGTCAATCAGTGTGTGGTTGATGAAGGAGGGCTTATTTTTGATCTGAGATGTTTACAGCTTCTACACAGTTGACAGTCTGCTATAATTTTTAATTAAGAATTCCCATCTTCTAGAGTCAAGGAGAGTAAATCATTTGTCATGTCTGTTTTTATCAAAGTCAAAAAAGAATTCCAAAGAATGGGAAAGGATAACATTTCCTGAGTGCCTACTATATGCAAGGAACCATGCTACCTGATTTATATTCAGTCAGCTCTGCCCCTGCCTCCTGTTTGGGGGCGGGGAACTAGGATGCCACAGCAATCAGCACCTATGTTATGACTGGCCATAACATTAATACCCCCATCAGGTACATTTAAGCACACATATAAAATGCACCTTAAATCAATGATAGCACAATCATAGCTGATCACACTCTTTAGTACGTGTAACAGATCACATCAACGACACAACACAAACTGCATACATAACATGTACATACAACACACACATTACAAAAACTATTTATTCATGGCAGGGAAGATCATTCAGCCTAAGTAGGTAACAAGATGCCAATACCCAAAAAATCCTGAACTAGTCAAGAAGAGATGCTGTTATAGTTTGGATATCAAGTGTCCCCCAGAGTCGTGTGTTAAGGGCTTGCTCACTAGCTCCTGAGCTTTCGAGAGATGATTGATCATGAGGGCTCTAAGCTCATCAATGGGTTAATCCACTCATGAATTCATAGCTGAATAGACTATTAGGAAGTGAGGTCTAGTTGGAGAAAGTGGTTGATAGGGGTGTGACTTTGAATATCTTGTCTCCAGTCCCTTCCTCTCCTGTCTCTCTCTCTCTCTCTCTCTGCTTCCTGCCACCATGAGATGAGCAAGTCTCCTTTTCCACATTTTCCCCACCGTGATGTTCTGCCTCACTATAGCCCAGGAACAACAGAGCCAAGGGAACATGGACTGAAACCTCTGAAATATGAGCCAAAACAAATCCTTCCTCCCTTAAGTTTCCCTAAGGTATTTTGACACAGTAATGAAAAGTGACTAACACAGAATCCTTGATCTGTGTCTTGAAAAAATGTAGGCATAAATTAGGTAAATGAGGACAGAGTATCATTTCAGGCAAAGAACAACATAAGCAAAACTGTAGTACCAAGAATGAATGTGGGGAGTAACAGTGGCTATTGACATAGGCAGGGGCCACCACTTGAGAACTACTAAATACTCTACCAAAACCTGAGCATGGGCAGTGGTGGTGGTACATGTCTGTAATCCCAGGTGCTCCAAGGTATAGGTAGAAGAACTGTGGAAAAATGCGAGACCCTATCTGAAAAAATAGCTAAAATAACTACCCTGGAGACAGGGTAGGCTTTAGTAGAAGAGAGGTTCTATAATCTTTATGTCTTCTATGCTATCAACATACCCTCCCATGCTACAGTGGAACTGAACATAGCTGTAGCTCCTACTCTCTCTGTAGCTGTTTGCGAAACTCTCCCGGTGACACTTGAGCACTCTGATGGGACCCTGGGCCCATATGTATGTATTTTTGAACCAGTTTTTCCAGTTTCCACTAACACATATCTGCTCAATTTTGTACCATAAGGTATAAAGGAACAGGTGCGAGGTCTGGTGTTCCAGCGCTCTTTCCCTCATGAGGACGTCACATTTGTATGCATGGAATTCTTGGCTTGGATTGAGGTGGTGCTTGGCCATAAACTCCCGTCTAGGAATGTCGTTGCCATGCACAAGTAGCCTGCATTGGAGCCACAGCAGGGCCAAGAAAGTGCCCCAGGCCTTCAGAGAGGATGTCATCTCTGCCACCAGGGTCACCTGTATATGTACAGGGAAGACAGGAAAGTGTAATGACATGCTGCTGGGTGGAACCCCACCATACAATTCCTGCTAATAAAGGCACTCGGGCCTAATTTTACTGTTTAGTTCCTAGACTGGAAGGTGATACTCTCACTAGAGATAAAGTTATTGGGTATTAGAAATCTACATGTTGCAGAATGAGTGAGTCAAGTACAAAATTGGAAGAAATTAGTTGAAGTTTATTTGAAAATTCTAAACATCTTTCATGTGCCCTCTATTCACTTAACCCGAGGAACTCACCCTCCATCTAGCTCTAGCTAGCTCCTAAATTCTCAGATCATGTGTCCAAAAGAATATGTTTTAAACTTTATGCCTAAAAGTGGAAAGGACTATCACCTTGTAAGGGTGTAGAAGATAAGTACTTGGGAGAGATTACCCAGCTAGGAAGGCTTTGGTTCCGTGAAATCATAGGCCAGGTGGCAACCACACTGATGCAGGATGGTGCTTCTCTGACCTTGACTTCCATATAACATTTCTCCAAAGCCTGGGTGAAGCATACTATCACTTCTAAACTACCTACCACAACCTTCCTTAGGGGCTACACCATCATTACAAACCATCATGAGTGGACAGAGCTGCTTGCTGGGCATGTATGGTAAACAGCAACCATACAGGAGCAACTCTGGCATAGAGGAGGGAGCCTCCCTGTTTGAAAAAGTACCCCCCTTAAACTAGGTCTCTGTCCTCATTCACATGACACTAAATCACTAACCGAATTCACAACTCTGAGTCTCAGCATCCTCAGATCGACCTAGCAAGAGCTCCTCACAGACCTGTGAGGGTCTGCAAAGATGCACATATGCTTTGAAAGACTGGAGGAAGGGGGATATGGGGGGAAGGTAAGGCTTTATTAGTGGGACTAATGCTGAGTTGAATTTAAGCGTTTGCTTTCTACAATTTGGATCATTTTTCATTCTTTACTATCTAAAAGGTAATCCTTCTCCTTCCAGGGATCCTGGGCTTTTGGATGGAGCAACCCAGGCAGCAACCCTTCTTTGTTTTCTCCATTCTAGGGTTTGAACTCAGGGCCTCACACTTGCTAAGCAGGCACTTTTTCACTTGAGTCACTCCTCCAGCCCAGCATCAACCCTTCTAACTCACCTCGTTCAAACTCGATGTTCACGTCACTAGTTGCATGGACATCAGTCTGGGGAGATGAAGAGCAGGGTCTGTGTCCTTCTTTTCTTGGTGCCCAAGCAGTCCAGCGCAGAGGAGAAAGGACTGGCAGTGGGAGGTACAGCACTCCTGGAAATCTGCAGGAGTGGCACAGTGGAGCGCAGGGTCAGGACTGTTTGTGTGTGAACCTGTTCCTGACTTCTCATGTAGAACACCTGGGTTCACTCTGAGACTAGCCTCGAGCAAAGGCTACAAACATAAAAAATGCCTCCTGGGCACAAAGGAATTGCAAAACCCCAGAGAGAGGTGACCCCAGAGAGAGTTATCTGTAGTTTTCAGAAGACAGCCAGACATCTGGCTCCTAAATTCACTTCAGTGGGTGGTGAAAGAGTATCTAGTCAAAGGTGCAGTTTATGGAGTAACAGATACTGAAATATGCCTTTTTTGTGTGTAGAACTCAGGGTCTCATACTTGCCAGGCAAGTGCTCTACCACTTGAGCTGTGCTCCTGGACTTTTTGTTTTTATTTTGTTTTTGAGATATGGTCTCACTAACTTCGCCTAGGTGGGCCTCAAACTTGCAACCTTCCTACTTCCACCTTCCTCCTACCTCCCCTCCTGAACAGCTAGGGGTTTTAAACATGTGCCACCGCAGTTGGCTCTGAATTGTGCTTGCTATCAAGGTTTGCTAGTGAGGCAAGCTAGCAATAGGGATTTGGGGACTCCGTCTGGCACCATGAGAATTTTCTCAGCACATTTCATGCTAAACTCTTTATCTCAGCCCAATGCCATCCTTTCTTTTTTTTCCGGTGGTACTGAGTTTGAACTCAGAGCCTCAGGCTTCCTACCACTTGAGCCCCTCTGCAAACCCTGCAGTTGTAAGTTTCTTTTCAATTGTAAGTGTCATCAAAGACAGGAAGCCTTGGGGGAATTCCGCCCTTGATCACCTCTTGGGTAAAAGTCCTCTGCTGAAAACCTGAACATGGATCACACCTCATACGTGTCATTAAAATACCTGAGAGAGAGAGAACAAGAGCATGTGCAGGGTGCATCAAACCTGTCAATCACCCTAGCCCATCCTGCAAGGACTGCCCAGATTTTTCCCGCCGTTTCCCATTTCAATTTATAAAATCCCTTTAAAAGAAAGACTGTGCTTCTTCTATCCTGCCTGGCCCAGGACCCACCACCGTTTTCTTTTGCCGTTCCTTCCCCTCACTTTCAATAGACTTTACTACATTTTCAAGTCTTGCCTGAATTCTCTCAGGAAGCAAGTACCTAAGAATCTTCTGACCAGAGTCTCCTTAGATCACCAGTAACACTAACAGGACACCTTGGTGGACCCTCTCTCTGGGCCACATTGTTAGGGTGTCAGAACCACTGGTTTATATTCAGAACTTATCTTCAGACTCCAGCTCATGTCAAGCCTCCAGAGGGGATCCTTGAAAAACTATCATAACTTACCCAGGAATTCTCAAGTGATAAGGAAATAAAGCTTGCCTCTTAAACTACTGTGCTGTTTTCACAACTTAACCCTACCCTAACTCCATTTTTATTGCCTTGACTGTTGTAATAAATATTATTTTTTAAAATAATGCTATAATATAATTCTGCCTTAACTATTTTAAACTGAGAAACTAACCTTATAAGTATTGTTGGGTTTTTTGTTTTTTTTTTTTAAAGGCAATAAAGTACCTGTTTTGATTATGTAACAGGTTCTTAAACTGTTTCTGCTGAAAAGCACTGATTTCTTACTTGGGCCCAAGAATTACCTGAAAGCTTGGCATTTTGACTTCCATTTTGTATTTGTTTCCTTCACTCTGAGGCTCTCTCTTTCATAATCACCTTGGCTTCCAGGGAGGACAAGACTGATCTGATAACATCTTTACAACTGAAATTACCTCCAAGGAAAAGAACAGCACCAGAACCCCCACCAGACTGCAAGGACTTTCTTCTTATAACAAGGTGGCACTTGAACATGTTACTATATGAGGGGTGAGGGAGTCCCAAAGCTTACCAGTTTCCACAAAAAATCACAGGTACTTGAGATCCACAAACATGAAAAGAATTTCAGGGTGTCTCACAACAGAGTTTAACGTTTTAGGAAGGATTTATTCTAGTATAACAGGATAAAAGTAGTGAGAAATTTAAAAAGAGAGAAGAAAAAGTATCTCTTGCTAGAACTGCAGGGGTGGGAGACAAGTTAAAAATTGGCGACCCTTTTGTGGGTTCTATGTGCTTTAAGTTGGGGAAATACACACCATCAAGTCAAAGGTTTGCAACCCCAATAGGTGTTTTAAGACTTCCTTTTGCTAAGCATGCCTTTCATTCTCTCTGTCCTTCTCCCCTTCAAGGAGATTCGCAGCTTCTTAACATCTCAATGCAGAAGGCAGATGCAGACAGCACCCCTATGGCTCCCTACTCTGTAACCTAACATCTAAAAGGTGGGAGGAGAGATTGCTGCCCTGGTTTTTCAGTTTTTACTTCCTGGTTCTAATGTCTAAATCTACTGCTTTTAATATTTCTTTAAAATAATATAATTTCCTTGTCTCCTCATCTACCTATCCTTCCTCAACTAATTCTGAGACTCACCAACTATGCTAGGGTGAACAAAAGGGCAGCCATGTTAGAACTGACTCCCCCCTTCCCTTTGAAGGTGGCTTACTGGAAACTCTTCACCCAGTCCTAAAGAAAAATAAACATCCACCTTTAGCCATTTTCTAGAAAGCACCTGGAAAAGAGAAACATGCTCTCTGCCACCAACTTCCAGCTGGTCCCACCATGCCCCCTTTTCATAATTCCCTTCCCTAACTTTTAAAAAACTCCCTTTACACCCACATGTCCTGCCATGTATTTCTTCCCCATGGGACAGGTGGGAAATCTGACCAGAGGCTTCACCACTGCCATTAACACATCCACATGTGCTACTTGGATTCTTCCACGCCAAAGTGTAAGGACAAAGATCTTCTGGTTAGAGGCATCATTGTCAACAGCAAAGTTGAGGTGAGCTAGAAGTAGGGGAAGTTTGTGATTCATATGTGGCTGGCCAGGGACAGCCCAGATCACCCTCACCTGCCGGAACCGCCTGTCCTCCCCAGTCATTAATTGTTAGATGAGAACCTACTGTTCCTCTGTTTCCATAAATTAGCATAAATTTTAAAAACACCTGAAAAAGAAAAGCATGTTCTCTCGGCTGACAGATTGCACCTGCACCTCGTCATGATCCTCTTTGTATTTCTCTTTCCCTAACATTTAGTAAACTCCTTTTATAACCACATGTCCCACCATGGATTCTTCCCAGTGGACAAAGAGTTTGGAAGTCTTCTGACCAGACTGCACCAGCACCATTAACAAAACCACCCCCAACAGTACAGCTTCCTCAGGATGGACCACCTGCCAGGTGACAATGATCTAGATAACAACCCTAGAACCTCTCCCAGAACAAGGACCAAGATAAGGACCAACCAGGCCACCTTTCTGACTGGGACTGTTCAACTACATGTACCTTCCCTCCTCCTGTCCCCAGTTCACACATATAGGTTTAAGTAGACAATGAAAATGGCTTAGTTTAAAACTTTAGCTTTTAGTTGACAAAGAATTAGGGCAGAGGGCAAAAGGTATGGCATAAACAGTCCCAGTCCACAGGTGTGGACTTTTGGTCATTATCTCAGTCCTTGTTTTGAGATGGGTTCTGCAGAAGTTGTTCTGCAACTTCCTTTCCTCTGCTGTTCCTTTCCTTTGGGGCAGTTTCCTGCATCCCTCCTTGTAAACATGTTATGGATAAGTCCTGTGCTTCCTGGATTCCAAGGTGACTACAAAGTGAATGACA